TAAAGTGTTGGAATTGTAGTATTGTCTTGCAATTTAGTTCAACAACGCCTTGGTGTGCGTCAACCATCAGGGAGCAACCAGAGGTTTTCCAGTTGCAAGAAAGAGAGAGAAGATCCTCTTCTGGGCAGAACTGCCTGTGCTTGCCCTTGTCAGCCATGTGCAATCCAGGGGTAGACAATTGGCAGGCAGACTTTCTCACCCAGCAGTGTCTGGACCAGGGACAGTTGTCTCCCTACACAAAGACGTTCCAGGACCTGTCACAGCTGGGAGACCGCTGATGTGAAACTCCTTTCCCAGTTCAACGCCAATGTATATAGGTTTGTATCCAGGTGCATGAATCCACTGGCAGAAGCAGTGGATGCCCTGTTAGCTCCATGGAATCACAACATCCTGAACTATGTCTTTCCTCCCATGAAACTTTTTCTTCACCTGCTGGGCAGGATTAAAATGGAAGGCATGCTGTTGCTTCTCATTGCTCTGCATTGGCCCAGACGAATGTGGTACACCGACCTATTAATATTTCTAGCAGACGTACCATGGGTCCCGTCAGACCATCTGGATCTTCTGCGCCAAGGGCTGATTGCCATCTTGCTTCTTAGTCACTGGCTTTAATAGCATGGCTGTTGAAGCCCAGGTTCTAAGGGACAGGGGTGTCTGAGTCTGTGATTCCTATGATGCACAAAGCTGAGAATTCCATTTCCTTCACAGTCTGTCATTGGAAGTGGAAGGCTAATTTTACATGGTGCAAGTGTAGGGGCTTCAACCCCAGGAATTTCTCCTTCCCGCAGTTGGGTTTGGACCAGTGTGTGGTTAAGCATAGATAAAGGTTAAGTCCTTGCTTTTTCCATTCTGTTTCAGAGACTTTTGGCCTCTCACTGTTTGACAGATCTATGTACAAGAGGACTCCCATGTAATTATCATCAAACACATCATCAGTGATGAGCCATAAATGAGATGCGAGTAGTCAGACTGGGAGTCAATAGAGGATACTCCCAGACCCCCAACCCCCTGCCCACCCACATTATATTCTTCCTGTTAACATTTCCCTAATGTCCTGTTCTGTATGATGCCCTATCGTAGCCTGGTTCATAGGATGCCATTGTGACAGGATGTGAAGGGAATCCTCCAAAGTGATGGAATTAAAAACGTGAGAGGTTCTGCTTATTCAAAACGCTGTTCAGGTGCATATGTTTGAAAATTGTGCTAATGAGGACATTTCTTGTTGCCATTAGCAACCAATTGGTTTCCTCTGTCATTTGTAAAGTGCTAAGCTCTGAGGGCTTGCTCGTGTTTCATACATAAGCCCCTAGGAGGTTTTTCTTTTCCCCACATGGAAAGCATTGTTTTAATAATGTAATCCAATTGGATTACATTATTAAATGTAACAAACCAGGATTAGATTGATTTCATCGTAAACATCACTAGAGGAACAGTTTTGATTGAAAACAGATTAAGCATGTTTTAAGGTTTTAATAGTTTATTTCACCCTTATCCACTTCCAATAACAAAATAACCTTCACAGAAATTTTGAAACCATAAAATAAAGCTCTTTAAAGCTTTAGGACCTTCTAGAACTGAGGTAAAACGAGACCTATAGTTTTATATAAATACTGGACATTGAAATCCTACCATATCAACATATATAAAAATATATACAACATTTACATAGAATAATCTATATGTAGCAAACATTCTAGCTGTTGGCACAAGCACCTAATACAGACAGATTAGCAGCACTGTTACAACTGAAACAGTCTTGGAAACCAAAAAGAAATAAATAAAATACAAAAAACACTGAGCTGGTTCTCCATTTACACAGCAAATCTCTCTTGTATTTCTGTACAGTAATAAACCTGTTCACAAGTATATAGTGCAAGAGCTGGAGGAGCTCTAACTGTAGACCCTGGAATCCCTTGAATGAAAATGCTTTGACATTCAGCTCTAAATTTCTTTTAGCTCCACCGAAATAGTTTTCTGTAACAGCTTCAACCGTTCACCTGGAATGGTATATACATGGAAACATTTATACCATGCAGTTAGCCGTACCCCTTTCATATGTACTGTTTTGCAAAAGCCATTTGAAAATCAGCAAACAGGAGAGGAGTTGTGACAACTTTAGAGCACCAGACATCTGTTTCAGGACACAATTTAGTTAAAAGCAGAAGACATTTCCAGTTCAGTAAAGAAACCCTTTAAATAGAAAAGACTAGACATTTCTTTCTCTCTCCATAAATATACTCCACTAGAGAGTGTAACATCAACATTTGCAAATATCTGCACCTGAAATGGAAAAGATGAATTTAAAAATGTGTTATATGGCTTATCCTTTACATCATAACATTATTGCTTAATAATAATGTCCATGGTCTTGTTCAGACAAAGCCATAACTATCCTCATGCAAAAATGACCTTCATTTATGTGGGTGAATAGAAATGTTATTTAGGAACGGGGGCATAAGGCGGCTCATACATTTTTTCATTACTAATGAAGCTCCAGGCCTATGTTTGTCCATAAATTACAGCTTCATTTATTTAAGAATGGTTCCAATCATCTGGGCACATAGCTGCAGATCATTGCTGGTCTGATGAGCTCTTCTCAAGAAATGTTGCTTGACTATTAGTAAAATCTTTGGAGAGCTTTGGGAACATCTTTCATAAACAGGCAGAAAATTGGTGGACAAAGAGGGTTCTCAACCCCTTTAAATAATCTAGATCTGATATGTGTATGATGGAACATGTAGATCCGTGGCACTTCAAGGAACTATAGCTTTTCTGCCCCTTATCTGAACCAACATAGTCCAGCTGAAATGTAAAAATGAAGCCCAATCTTTTATGTATTCATTGCAAGATGCTGTATTTTATCATTTAAAGGTTAGCTCCATACAACATGGAAACACCTCTGCTAGATGTAAGACAGTGTATGAAAATGTGCTGCGAGGGACTCTGTCGTGAGAGATTATGAAGGCTACCATTCCTGAACTGTCATTTTGAAAATGTAAGTTTCCCAGCTGGCATGATGAAGCTTTGGCTTCTGTGCAGTCTGAGCCACTAATCTCTAACACTATAGACCAGGGGTAACCAAACTCCGGCCCTCTGGCTGTGGTGGAACTACAAATCCCACAAGGCTTTGCAAGATTCACAGCCACAGGCATGACTCCCGTAGAGAGATGCATCATGGGATTTGTATTTTCACCACAGCTGGAGGGCCGGAGTTTGGCTACCCCTGCTATAGACTCTGACACTACTTGTTCCAGGTCTGTGATTTAAAAGTATTTGTCTGATACCATCAGAATTTTTAAAAGAAGGCAGAGCCCCTACTTCTCTCATGAGAGAGTCACTTCAACATCATGGCCATAGATGAGAGGTTCAGCTGCTGTAGTTCCTGTAATACGCACCATCTCATCACTCCAGATGCTCTTGCCAAATGAGGTAGTCAAACTTGCTCTCTTTGTAGTCTACACAGACTGGAGAATTTCAGCCGGAATGCAATAATAATAGCCTTGAGGGGAAGAGTGGTCTGAGAACATCGGCTGATGGATCTCATCTTCAATGCCTTGGAGGTATACATGAAAAGATTTTTTTTTTTTTTTTAGTGGACCTCAGTTTCAGGGCCTGTGTTCGCTTCATGTGAGTTTTTCATTCCCATACAAGTCTATAGGAATGGAAAACACGCTTGAAGGAGGTCAACAGCAGTTCAAATGCACCTGTCAAAGAATTCTTAATCGCAGAAGTGTCTCAACCTAGCATCAAAATGACATCTTCGACATCCTCTGGATCAATAGTGGGTAATTGTGCGCATAGCGTTCAGTTTAAGCTTCTTTTTTTTTTCTCCATATCTCTATAGGTTGAACTCGATGGACATGTCTTTTTTCAACCTGACTAACTATGTAATCACATACCTAAAGCTGTTCCTGAGAGACATATAAGGGGTTCCAATGCTTAAATAAGGTCCCTAAGTGATACTGACCTGCTGGCTTCTGGTCCTTCTGAGTTAGTGACCTGCACCAAGTTTGAGGAACATCCAAAAAAACAAACCTCCTGATTAGCAGACTTGTTCTGGATCACCAACTAAACTATTAACGCCAAATAGGTCAGCATGACAGCCAAGCAACTACCATTTTATGAAGGAGAACTTGGCAACGGCCTCCAAAGTTGTTCTCATGAAATGCTCCATGTATAAATGTCCGTAAACATAAATACAGCTACTTTATGTAAAAGAGGCACCAGTAATATTCACAAATAGTAAACAAAAAACAGGATCCTATGATATACAAAGAGTGAGATATTAGACATTGTTTATTGTCCTTTGGATTGTTCTGTTATTAACCATTAATGGCTAAGAAATACTTTGAAAAGCAGCACTTGCTAGCATTGTATTGAATTACTAACAATATGATCTTTGCTTTCAAAATTTCAGTGTTAGAAAATTCCTTCAGCCAATACCTATTTTTTTTATAAATGTTATTTAACGTGTATATCCAGCCAATACTTTTTTGTTTTGTTTTACATATACGGTCCGGTTTTTACAGCTGTCCCAGATGCCATTAGAGAGGTTTTCCCTCACTTCTTATCCTTCTGACTACATTTTTACCAGACTGGAAAGGGGGACAAAACTGTAGCAGGCATTCAGAAAGCTATAAAACAACAGCCAGTGGTTCCAGCCTTCCCTTACTCTTTACTAACCAAAGCATTTTTATTTTGTCGGTGTTGCTGTTGAAGAGTTTCCATCACTTCCTGTCTGGCCAAACGTCCTCAAAAAAGGAAGTATGGGGGCTTGTATCTAAAGGTGCCCCATATAGAACTACAAATCTGATGAGTTGTAACTCTTCCACACCATCTAAAACTCAGAGAAGAATGGGTCTGGTTTGACATTCAGAGCTGTAATGATCCTCACTGTTGCCTCAGTGATTTTCTTCCAGATTGATTTTAGAAATGTCTCGTCACAGCATCCCATGAAATGTCTTATGGTGTTGTAGCTGCTAGGATTGGACTTGGTCTTGAAAAACAGCAGAAGCAGAGCAGCCATGAAGATGCTTCATTTAGCATTCGGTTCTGAACTATAAATACATTCTGTGTTTGTTGCTTTAGGTGTGTTATGTTCCAACATGCCAGTCAGGTAAGGAGAGCACTACATACATTGTACACAGACATCACCAATGTGTTCAACCTTACTAGATAAACTGTCTAGACAACGGTTGTATTTACACACCTTCAACTACTAATCAACACCCCATATCCAGACGATGAACAGCGATGTATTAAGGGGAGGAACCCTAAGATTACATGAAGAGTTTTAGAACAGGTATACATATAATTAACCTTCACGGAAGTAAGGTGTACACCATATCCCATAATTCTGCAAAACCCCTGATGTGTTCCACTGTGCAACCGGTGAGCACCTAGTTTTACAGTACTACCCTCCAGCTGTGGATATCGTGTCCATGATGCTCAGTAGCCTGTATCTGTACACTGCGTGGCAATGGGCTTTCCAGCAGTCCCTGAACCTATGATCCTTTCCCAACAGTCTCATTGTCCATGACATACTTTCTAAGCTCCGATCGCAAAGCCTCAATTTTTCTCTGCGCATCTCTAAGCTGGATCCTCAAGTTTGTGTTCTCCTCCTTTAACAGGGATCTTTCCTGTGAAGAGCAAAAAATAGAACATTAGTCCCATAACCAAGTCCTAGAGACAATATAGCAGTATTTCATAGGGCTGGTAATGATTAAAATTTTCGTGTTCAATTAATAAAATTTTTTTTTTTATCGATTAATTATAACGCACATACAGATCCAACTACATTGGCCTATACACATACAGCACAGCAATGAAGTAATAAAATGAACTAGGATCACACTAACCCAGCACGTTATTAATCTCACGTGCCCCACTCAATATGGCCGCCGCTTGAGTGGGGCAACTCAGAATAATAACGTGCTGGATTACAAATTCCATTTCATGTAAGGACCTGATTGCAACATAATATCAGTAAATTTCAATGGGCACATTTCTGGGAGCGAGATGGGGGGGTTAATGGAGAGCCACATAGTGCATATATATAAGTTTAAGACAGAAGCTTGGTGCTTCTTGGACAAACTCACTGGCCCAAGTGGCTCCGTCGGCTAACGAAGGGAAGGGGGGAGGAGTCAGGTGACAAAAGCAACAAAATTCACATTGGTATTAGGAACAATAAACCTCAACTTGAGATGCAAAGAAGCAGTTAGGGTTGCTGCATCTTGTCCATGCTCTGCACAGCAGAGGATTAGGCCTACTTCTTTTGGTAATGTGGCCACACTTAGTTGACAACTGTTAGGCATGTGCTTTTTTTTTTTTTGCAGATTATAAAAGTGATTAACAACCTGGAGACCTCCAACTATTAGGGAGCTGCAAATCCAAGCATTCCCTGCAGGACAGAGACAGTGAAGGAAGCTGGCAGTACATGTTGTTCTGGCAGGACTGCAGAGATCCATTTTGCCTGTGACTGCTTTAATACCAACTAAACAACTAACAAAAACTAGATTATTGCTCTCTTTTCAGCTGCAAACCTCCCAACTTTATGATATCATCTAGAGGGACATCTTTCAACACAAAGTATATAGAGGCAAAGGGCACACCCCTAGTTATGCAGACCTTAAAGAATTATCATGCCAAAAATGATTGGTGGTTTGTTTTCCACCACTGCTTCATCTTTTTAATGGCTTTTCAAAAAATGTAGAATTTGGATGATAGTTTTTTGTAGTATAACACTTTTGGCAGTAACATAGTTAATTTACGATAGAGATCTCTACAGAAGACGAAATAAAAGGACAGCTGGAAGCTATGTTACTGAAATATTTAAATAAAATGCTAGTTACCAAAATGTCCAGTAAGGATTATAATAACAATAATAGAATAATAGTATTAAAAAACAAAGATGGGATTTATCACCGTATACTGGTTACCTTTTCCAGCTCTTGTGTTTGTTTACATCCTCTTCTTTCCTCTCTGACTTTGCGGACAGAGTCTTTATTTTCCCACTTGGCATAGGCCCTCTTCCTAATTAAAAGTGGACTAGGACTGCCATCTGGTGTTCGACTCCTGTGAGGTGAGGGAACCTGTAAGCAGGGACTGGGAGGCCGTTCTTCTGTCTGCGTCCCCCGGTGTCTCATTGTTGTTTGCAGCCGTACAGAGATCTTCTGAGATGAACTTCCCATCAGCATGATTGTCCTGTCTTTGCCGACCTGTGTGTGCTCATTGTCTTCACCATTTGGGTAAGGAAAGGAGTCCTCTTCAGCTGGACAGTCTTGGAAGATAGAACCCAAAATTACCAACATATAAAAAAGTGCTTCCAGCTCTTATACATTTTACAATCCATGATTAAAATCTGCTTTGAGTATTTACAAAAACAAAAGTCTCCATTTTCAGATTTCTGCTAGGGAAGCTACATGCATACAGTGATACAGTGCTGCCCTTGCTCTAATCCATAGAAGCTTTAACAATCGGACATGTACCGCAATTAGTAAATTGAGAACAAGGTTACAAAGATCAATTTTCAAAACCAATGTAGCTCTATATATTTATCTGCAGTTTCCTTGGTGTGATGAAACCACTAGAGGGCAAGCCTAGCAAACAGCTGTTCTTACATAGACACTTTACAGGTCTGGAAGTCTGTCGGGCTTAATCAGTAAAAGTGTAAATGATAAAAATGGTGTGCAATATGTATGCACAGCTGGTAATCCATTAAAATAATGTCTTATTGATCAGTAATGTAATCTAATTGCATCCTCTGGTTTATTGCACCACCTTAGTGTCTAGCCCTGTGTGTACCCCATTCTGTGCTACCTAATCCACACAAAGCACAGTTGCTTACAGTAACATTTTTTGTACATTACCTCAAGTGATTTATAACAATCCACTTACCATTTGTTAACCCTTTGTCACTGGCCAAGGAAATGTCAGATGTGGCATTGTCCTGAGATAAACTGCTGTCTTCTGTGGAGCCTTTAGACCTCTTCTTACATTCGAACACCACCAGCTCTTTACATTGTTTATGGCAGTTCATCCCACAGTCTGCAGAAAATTGCAGACAAAAATGCAGGTTAGGCCATGTGTAGGAAGATGATTAAAAGGCCTTGTTCTGAGCCACACTAGCACTATCTGCAGTCAAAGTGACCCCCTTCCCTAGCTGCTGCTTATAAGATTCACTGAACCCCATGAGCAGCAGTCCTGAAATGTGGATGAGCTCTCTGCCATTTCCCAAAATATCTCAGTAAAAATGAGTCTTATTAAAATGTTTTGCACTTAACCAAATGCTTGTGAACTTGAACGGACCACTCCTGATAGGGTTTAATAAACCTTATGAGCAGCGGGCAGAAGGTATCCCGTGGATGGGCTAAAGACGCCTCTTTAATACTTCTTTTTACTCCCATATTGTACTGATGAAACAAAGGAAGACTTTGACCAGCTGCTATCAGTAACACGTTTTAAGGTACACTGTTACATCCCTTGCATGGACTTTGGTGTATAGTATTTACCTTTGCAGCGGTATCCTTGCTTGATCACACCCCAGAGCTGTAAAATAAATCATATGCCACACTTCAGTACAGGCATCAGCTAAATTGTGTTATTCATTAAATATAACAGTTGTTTCATCTGAAAATCTGTTTACTATAAACTAAAAATCATTCTATAATATTAAATGGCATTAAAGCTCAAACTCTTGGCACACTATTTGTAAGGTAATTGGTAGGCACCCCCCAAGATAAATGATGCTAGTACTAACACTCATGTTGGCTCTTTTCAGCACTGACCCCTTGTAGCTCTGGGGTCTGAAGGTTTGGTGCATAACTGGGGGTATCAGGACACCAGCTTTGGACTTTGAAAGCATGTTTTATATTTGTCTAGGGATTTTTTGGTACTCTACTACACACACACTATATATAGGATATTGTTTTTCTGCTTAAATGGTCCAAAGACTGTGATAGGAACATTCAATTTGAAAATAATGAGAAACACAGAGGCTGCTTTAGCTTAACCACTTCTGGAAACGCTAGCTGCTTCACTGTTGGGCAGCTAGCAATTTTACTAATATATTCAAAGCATCTATTTTCTTACAGAGTACATAGAACCATTCATGTCAGTCTGCCCCAGAGTAGCTCACAGTCTAAAGTTCTCACCACAGTCATACACACCTGCACACAATACTGCCTCGTTTTGTCTGAGGCCTACAGTACATTTGGGTCTAGGCAGGAAACTGGAGCACTCGCAGGAAACCCACACATACATTCTCCATGAAGAAAGCATCTGGTAGGAACTGAACCTAGGACTTGAAGCTGCAAGGCAGGCTTTCTAATTTCTTAGCCAGTGTGGTTTTTTGGTATTTATGATTATCACTACTCACAAAGCCAGCACAGTTGTCACAGAAGGTTGGGCGCAGGTAAGTGGTCTCCTGGAAGTTGTGGAGGAATCCCAAGCCAAGTTTGGAGCATATTGAGCTCGCTCTCATGAAGTATGCTGTGATTTCTTGTCTGCTGATCTGGCCATCTCTGGAGATCAAGAAAGATAAGCATTAAATAAGACTGTTAAAAAAATTACCAGCCACTGTTGGTGTCAGTAGTGTTTTAATCAACCCGGCCTTCTTCCTGTTACCAGAAGATCTAACCTGAAATGCATAAGCTCCAGCCCAGATATTTGAAGGGTCGTGGAGCACATTAGAGCTGATGGTGGGCACTAAAGAAAGTCCACCCTCGAAAGCCTGACACCTGCACAATATGGCAGTGCCCTACAGTAAAGAAATATTTATATTAGGACTGGCTACCATGAGGACACGTGTGGGACAATGCCTAGAGATCAAGGTTAGTGGCAATGTCAAAATGAAACATTTTCACATTATAACTTTTTCTGTATTTTGTTTTTTCTGGCAACTCCTGGTTGAATTCAGCAAGAGAACTGTAGGGGGGACTGTAGGAGAGAAGGGTTACAGTGAATGTTAAAAGGAGTCAACAGGCTCTGTATAGCTCAGGAAGTTTTAAACTATCTGTCCTTTCTCATGTTCAGTGGTCTGTATAGCTATAAAGTAGACCATATGCTACCTCCAATAGGGCATTCTAGCAGTAGTCTTTACTAAATCACATGCCTCAAAGGGTGCATGATTAAAGGAGAACTATGAGGTGAGTGCTTTTCACTCATCCTCATAGTTCTAGCCGACCTGTGACAATGAAACTGTCACAGGTCGGCTCAGTAGATCGGGAAGTGAGCAAACACATACCGGCGTTCGCTCACCTCTCGATCTTGTCACGGCACAGAGCTGTGACAGGGGAGGGACTGGATTCCCCCCTCCCTGCTCCGATCCTCCAGCGCTGACTGGCGATACGGACGGGGGAGGGGGCGGGTACAGCTGGCTCTGCCTCTAGATAGGCATAATTGTCGGGATCCTTTTCACCTGCGGCGTCGCATTATACCGCAAGCTGTAGCTCGCGGTATATTGAGCTTATGGTGACGGGAGGATGCTAGTTTCCTCCCGTTACCCTTAGGAGAACTATGGGGAAAAGCCATAACCCTATAGTTCTCCTTTAAGACGTGCCCAGAGCAGTGCAATGTCTAGTTACAGCTCTGAATGTTGGTATTTGCGCTCTTGGGAGGAGGGCAGGACTAGGAGTACTGTAAGCCTTCATAAAAAGCACATCATGTTAGTACATTTTTGTTAGTATTCAGGCTGCTTCTTTTATGCAGAAAAACAAACCATACCTTGTAAAATATAATTTGATGGTTGTTGATAAGATATAATTGTGTATACATTACATTACTAGACAGGTAAATACCGAGGGTGGGAAATGTGCAGCAACCAACTAGGTAACATTTCTGTACAGTAATCTGAAATGTAAGTTCTGTAGGTTACACTTTGCACACCATCATTGCACTTTGTGAAAGTGAATAATGCAGTATGGGGCCAATCGCTAAAATGCATTAGTTTAACAGCATTCTTTATTTTACCCCATGAAAATATTAAAATCACACAGGTATGGAATCAGTATTTTGGACTTAATAGACCAGTTGAACTTTCAGTTTAAATCTGACAGTTTTCTGTTTGCTCTAATTGCCTTGCCCTAAAATTGCTACATAGAACCTTTCCGTTTTCATTACAAACCTTATTTAGTGACATCATCACTGGGTTTCTATGCAATGCAGGCAGATCCTGGCTAATGCGAGGGGTCGGCAGAGTGCTGCAGATAGCTTTCTGAAAACATCACAGCACCCTGCCACCGTATTCCTCTCAAGTGCCCTCAGCCCTAATGCAAGCAGTGGGCTGGATCTTTCGGGGAGTTGTGCAAATATGAAAATGTCTTGATGAGTGGATGTCAGTCTGGAGAAGTTGGCATTCCTAGACTGACTGTATTTGCGTGCAGGCCTTTCTTAGGTAACGTCCACATGTGATACTGAGCCTCCATAATTGAAAGAACTGAAATCCAAAGAATGAAAGGGGTGGTTCAGGCACAGTCAGTTTGGGGAGGAACAGGTTATATGATGCTGGATGAGCCAGGAAATAAGGAGGGCTCTGTCTAACTTGCTGCAGCTTCTAGTGCGAAAGGGTCCTTTTCTGCCGCACTCTAAAGAAAGCCAACGGTAAAACTTTCCTCAGTTTTTCTTTTAGTGCACTTGGAATGTCTTAAATTGGATTAAAACTGAAATTGGGCTTTACATGGATATTCAAGCACTGAATCCTGCTGGAAGCTGGAACAATAAACTGTGCTATAATTTTGGTTAGGGATGCACCGATACCGGTATTTTGGTATCGAGTACAAGTAGCGATATTTTTTTTTTCCCGGTACTCGCCGATACCAAATACAGAGTGCCGGAAGGCCCATTCAGGAAGCCAGGTGGCGTGTAATAACTCGCCACCTGGCTTCCTGACTATCCGGGAAGCAGGGCAGCGTGTAAAGACTCGCCACCCGGCTTCCTGAGTAGGAGGGAAGCCGTCCCCATGCTTCTCGTCACTGGATAACGAGAAAGCATGGAGCCGGCATTCTGGCCAATCAGGAAGCCGGGCGCTGTGTAATGACGCGGTGCTCGGCCTCCTGATTGGACGGGAACCGGCTCCCTCGTCGTGAGGAGGGAGCACGACCAATCAGAAAGCAGGGTGCCGCGTCATTACAGGAACACGGGTTCCCGGGCAGCGCGCCATTACACGCTGCCCGGCTTCCTGATTGGCTGGGAAGCCGGCTCAGTGCTCTCTTGTCACAAGTGCCGGGTCACATGGAGCCGGCTGCCCGGCTTCCTGTTACCGGAAGTATTGGGCTAGGCATCGGGGCAAATACTCGGCATCAGCACTAGTATCGGTATTGGTGCATCCCTAATTTTGTAAAATAACTTTTACATATATTTTCAAGGTAAGAAGTGTTCAAATATTGTGGTCAGAGGACTGAAAGAAAGGGAATCTCTTATTTAGTGTGGTTTGAAGTCTCCTTCTGCACTGTTACATGAAGTGATCAGCAACAGTTGGAATCTTTATGTTTTATAAAGGCTCTTTGGACTTTTGGTCTGGTGTTCATTCAATATTTGTCTACACTCTAAGCTTCTTCTGGGTATCCCACTAATTACATAGTTACATAGTATTTGAGGTTGAATAAAGACATTAGTCCATCAAGTCCAACCTATTAGGATCTCATTCTAGGAGTACCCGTACCCCTGTATATTACGGTCCCTTAAGAAATCGTCCAAAAGTTTCTTGAACAATTCCACATTATTTGCTGAAATCACCGCCTGTGGCAGTGAGTTCCAGACCCTAACTGATCTTACTGTGAAGAACCCCCTTCGCACCTTGTGCTGGAATTTTTTTTCCACCAATTTTAGGTTATGGCCTCTAGTTTTTGTAACGGAGTTAATTTTAAACAGTTTATCGCTAATGTTGCTACCACCATTAAACATTTTGTACATGGAAATCATATCCCCCCTTAATCTCCTCACCTCTAATGTGAACATGTTTAAATTTAGTAGCCTCGTCTCGTAGCTCTGGTCCTCCATGCCCCTAATTAGTTTGGTTGCCCTTCGCTGGACTTTTTCCAACTCAAGGACATCTTTTCTTAGTACTGGTGACCAGAACTGGACCGCGTACTCCAGATGAGGTCGAACCAATGATCTATAAAGTGGCAAAATTATAGACTTGTCCCTGCAATACATCCCCTTTTTAATACAGGACAAGACCCTGCTAGCTTTGTTTACAGCAGCCTGGCACTGCAAACTACCTTTCAGTTTGTGGTCTACAATGACCCCCAAATCCTTCTCCATTTCTGACTTCCCCAGCGGCATACCCATAATTGTATAACCCATTTGTTTATTTTTAATTCCAAAGTGCATTACTTTGCATTTAGCGACATTAGGCACAGTCAGTTTGGGGAGGAACAGGTTATATGATGCTGGATGAGCCAGGAGACCTATTGTGATGTTGGAGCCGCCTTACAAAAGCCAGTGAGCTTATTTGGAAAACCTTGATACATTTGGACTTTTGAATGCGTATTGAGATCCCAGCACCTCTAAATATTTGGATGTGTTTTGTGAATGAGTTGGTGTGATATTTTTACACAGATGCTGTGCATAGCAGACGTAGTAAAACTTTTATGAACTGACCAGTTGTCTTTCTTTGCTTACGTTATTCTAGCTGTTCATTTGCACTGCTCACCTGTCTTTATCCATCACACAGAAAGAGAAAGGGAAGCTGGTCGCTATTTTCTCAAACTCTTCTTGGGATATGTATCCATCTTGATCCAGATCATAATTCTTAAACACAGACTGAAAGGGACAGAATATCCATTATCCAAAGTTCATTGAAAACAAGATCGTTGCAAATGTAACGATAACCACAAACCACAAACTACAGATGTTTGGATGCACACATTGTTAGTTTGCTGTGCTTTTTACAGTGCTGGTTAAATATATATTTAGACACAACACACAGTTAAAATTAGACACATATCAAGAAATCTTACTTACATCTACCATCCTCTGCACGTGTTTGCTGATTGTTTTGGGGTCAGGTTTAGGAGATACACCAGATGCCCAATCTGCAACAACTGGAGGCTTACAGGGTGTGACAGGCTGCACACAAAGAGATCAGATGAAGATTTAGCAAAAAGTCATTTTTATGGAACATTTAAGCTATCTCATAATGTGAACATGGTGTTTGAGCCCTCGTTCACACCTGAACGTTTTGTAGCGCGTTCTACGCTCGACGAACGCTCTACAAAACGCTCAAAAATATAAATCCCATTGTATTCAATGGTCTCGTTCCCACCTTGGCGTATTTCCGCCCGTCCCTAACGCGCTACAAAACGGCCCACGCCTGGAAAGGTACAGGTACTACTTTGGCCGTTTTGTTGCGCGTTTCCATTGGGATACAGCCAAGTAGCCTTCGGAAACGCGCTGCGGTCGCACAACTTTTTTTACCGCGAATCGCGGTAAAAAAACGCGTGACGGTCGCATATGCAATACGCCTAGGTGTGAACGAGACCTAATAGAGAGAAATAATACAAAGTAAAACGAATATGTTTATATTTAAAACAATGGATGTGCTGATATTCTAAGCCAATACAGACACACAAAAACAACAATTGTACAGCCTTAAGTCCAAATCAGCTGTCAGACAGATTGCATGCATAGTCAGGGGGTGCTGTTGGTACAAAGAACCACTGGCAGCTTTACTGAATGTAAAGCGGGAGCCCTAGGATGAGGTAGCCCTGACACTGGACTCCCATTTCAGTGTGGGTCACCAATGCATCTCTTTAGAGCATCCAGATCTGTTTTCTGAGGCTCAGCTCTTCCAGAAGCCATATAGATGAACATGTAATAAGTAGAGCAGATGGGCATCCATACCTAAAAAGGTATAAAAGAGTACCCACTGAGCTGCTGGATGAGATGGACAGGTCTTTTGCAAAGCTATACATTTATATCAGGCCCACAGTGATGGGCAAGGCAGGGGTGCCCTGACAATGCCAACTTGATTCTATGCCCACCAGTGATTGGAGCTCTATACCTGCCATTATGTGGAGGCAGTGATTAACATTTGGACTGTGCTGTGAGAGTGGGAGATATTTCACAGAACATTTTGCTCTTCACAGTTAAGAGTCACGACTGCAATCCGCATCTAGTATTCACAGATAACACGTGTGTCTGTAGGTGAGGTGACACTGCTATTTATATGTCTTCTTTTACACTTCGACTAGACTTCATTTTCAGCTTTCACAGAAACCATTCCCGCCACATATAAAATGGTGTTCTAGGTCAAAGCTGGAAATTTAACTGAGTGTTTTAAGTTCTTAAAGGGCAGTTAATGGCAACATCTATGAAACATGAACAATGTAATTAAATATTGTGCTACCAGTTTGTCTCTATGAGCAGAATCTGGTACAAACATTCTCTACAATATCAATTTACACCTACACTTACACATGAATATGTAAGATAAGCAGTTATGTTCTGAAATGTATTAGAACTAACATATTTTTCCTTATGCAAGCAACAAATGTTGCATTAGTGACAGTTCTAATGCATTCAGTGACAGATAAGCTCATATCCTAATTGCTAGCTGACCTCAAAAAGCACTAAATAGTTATCTAACCATATCAAATAGCTGCCTGACACAATAGACCTAGCAGATGTGTGCTGGAAGGTCGCAACTGCAGTCTACTTTTGTAGACTATCAATTACTTTCATGTTATTTTTGTCCCCCCTTCCGCTAACCCCAGTCATCCTATAAATCAAGCATTGGAAAATCTCTGCCTGTTCTGTTTTTCCATTGAAAAAAGAACTGATATTTCAATATGGATCATTTGCATCTATAACAGGGTTATTCACTAAAGGTTGGTGATCTTGGAGAAGGCGGGAGAAGTGAACAATCTAGGACAACATAGCTGAAGTGGAAAGTGAGTTGAATTAGAGAATGTTTCAAATTCAGCTATTTTGGCCTAGATTGTTCACTTCTCCTGCCTTCCCCAAACTCTTCATCCTTTAATGAATAACCCTGATAATGTTAACTGACTTCATATAAAGGTCACAGTGGCTGCCTGAGTTCTGATCTATCTGTGTATAGCTGGCCTCAAGCTATTTACTTGTGCCACATATACTGTACCTCCTCTGATATGCTTTACATCCAGCACCAGACAGAGTCTTGTCTTCCAGAATGGAATCAATAGTTGCCAGTCATAGAAGAACACTTGGGAAGGGAAAGGTAAAAGTAAAATGTACTCATTTGCTTCCCTCCCCTAACCCTTCTTTAGCGGTTAGTCATTTTGACAGATTGTTCTTATAGTTTCACTTTGAATTATGCCTGTTATAATAACACTCTAACTTTAGGTAACTTACTGGTGCGCGATGATTCCTTGGCTCTCGTGCATATGACAGCTCATACATTTCATCCTCTGTGTAATACAAGTCGAGGGAAAGCTGGAAATACATTGACATACAAATATATGATACAGTGTAGAATGTTCCTTACATACATTAGAGAAGGTAAAGATATCTGGTGCAACCATGCAAATCATTCAAAAAAAATCTTATCTCCTGCTGTCAGCTCCAGCTCCTGAAAGAGTTTCTCCAATGCTTTCATCATTAAGATATGGCAGTAAGCAATCACCGGGTGGGGGCTTACTGGTTGGTACTTTTCACTACTTGTTTCCACCTCTGGCACTAACCACGTGCAATGGAGGAATAGCCATTTAAAATCTATGGTGGCCCATTTTACTGAGGGGACCATTCAGCTATAGGTCATCCCAGAGACATAACAGCAATTTTAATGACCCTGATACTGGGGTGAGGAAAATGTTACAATGATTATGTTCAAATTTCCATAGAATACAGGAGCCCACCAGAAAAATCAACCTCTGCAACTCTATTTTTACAGTATTAATATCTATTGAATCCATAAATGATGGCCAGAGCTTTAGCATGCAGTAATATTATATTCATTTTGCTTGTTACATAGTTGTGAATTTTATACATCTAAAATTAATTCTAAACTTGATTTTGCCCCAATGTATTTGTCTTCTGACATTCGCTTCTTTACATACAAACATTTAAGGTGTATGTATGGTGGATGAAATTAAGCCCAGTGAATATTCCAGTTACATCCTACAGTAAAACAAGCAGGGGTAATATATAATTGTATTCTCTAAAAGAGCAAATACTGAAAATCAGGACTCACTGTAAGCAGATGTACAAGATCCATATTAGCATCTAATGGTAGAGCTATGTTTTGTAGTTGAATCAGCTCATTAATATGGTTGTACATAGAGTGCAGTTTGGGTACGTTAATTTTCTTCTCATCCAAAAAGTCTGGCATGGCTGCATATAGAGAGATAAGGTCTTTCAGGTGTACCCCAAGAATGGGTATCTTAAAATTGCTGCATTCATTGTAAGCTCTTCTGTAAGTATCATAATTTCTGCAGGAGGACAGCAGCTCTGTCATCTCATTAAGGACCTGCCAAAAGAACAAACTCCAATTCAATTAAAATGAATAAGATAAAGCATGCAAAGATCTAACTGATGGGTAAAACCCTTTGAATGATCAATGTTTGCACCCAAGATTCACACAACTTTAAAAACTTGGTTAATTTTCAAAATGTAACTCTTGGATGAAAACATTGATAAATAAACCTCTTAATGATTGTGGGCATCTAAACCCCCAAAACAAATATGTATTATATTGCAGCTTACCATCCCAAAAATGTGGTGGCTGCATTAGTTTTATTTTTCTTAGTCATTTTTCCATTATTATCAACTGGTTATCTGACCAGTAACACCTCCTGTTTTAGAAAAATTGAGCCACCCCTGGACAGCAGCATTGTTAACCCGTGGAGAGGGGAGTGTTAGAGGCACTAGTAGATTTATGGACTTGACTAACCAATTGGATCCAAACTCCAGCTAACACTTTTTAAGCAGTTATAGCAATAGTGTTTTTCTTTTTGTGGTAAAGGTTTTACATAAATTAATAAAAGTCAACCGTTGTAAGTGGTAAACGGTTTATCTCAACCCTCTGTCTGCCACTTTTGCTGGACAGCTCAGTGTGTTAAAGGAAGTGGAAAAACAAAAGACTTACTGGCTGGATCACCAGATGAAAAAATAAAGGAAAGAAGCACCACCAAAAAAACGAATGCAGCTAATACATCTAAGAATTGATAAGCCACAATATATAAAATGTTTGCTTTTGGGTTTAGATACACTTTAATGAACATTCCATTGATGTGCTCAACAGGCCCAGAAACATAGCAGAGAGACCAAAAATACAAAAAGGAGCAAGGAAGGAGAAAGGGAGCAGAGTGCCCAATATCTAATGTTAAAGACTGTTTATAGCATGGCAGTGCACATGCAGGGCAGAATAATTAAGGGAAAAGGCAAGAACTAACATGGTATGATGGTAGGAACTAAACCAAACCTGATAAGTAAGTGAAGGTAGTAAATATGATCCAATAGTTCAATTTAATAGGTAGGAATATTTGTCTCTCATCAGTGTGGGTTACCGTGGCACATAAAAAATCTTGTTCTTGTTTTCAGCAATAAGAAATTAGGCATACATTATATCAGTAGGGGTATTTACCTTACTGACATCATGAGACACATGAGAACTGGTATCCTTGAGTCTGGAAATGGAACTATGACATAGTCCTCCAATAACAGCCATCAGAGTGTTGAAGTTTTGGAGCAGATGAAGTTTCTGTGAGGATAAGCCAAATAAAACATAGCATTGTCAGTAATATTCTAGCTCTTACTGCTATGATAACTAGACTGCGTTATGTAATTTATTGAAAGATATGCATTTTGCAGATCTTAAATCTCACCTGAGCCACATGAATGAACTTGGTGAGAACCTCGGCTCGGAGCTGAGGGGTTGGCCGGCTTAGGACCATCAGCTGAACCCATTGTGAAATTCCATTGCAGAGTGCAATTGAACGTTCCATAGTAGGATTATCTTTCACACAACCGTTTACAATGTAGTTCTGATAGTCAGAAAACTGAAGGGAATGGAGAACAAGAGTGTCAAGAAATGTAAACATTCATTCAAACACGTCTACATTTTGTGGTGCTAAAAAATGTAATCAACAGTTTAAGGATTAGTTAATTTGGGTATCATGTTTGTCCATACAAACATGACCTTTCAGGACAGAAGATAAGTTATATAAAGATTCTGTGACCACTTTGAATTATTATTGGGCCAAGGACAGCTCATAGGTTCAGTCCACATTTTTGGTCCCCCTCTCTGGAACACAGGCAGGACAATTACTGAAGACTAAGTAACTACATTTCTTTTATAAGAAGATACACAAATCACATATTATTGTCGAGACCTGCGGACAAGAATCTCTGCACTAACATTGATCGCTATCCTGCTATCAGTTTCCTTGTCACTATTATGACATAGAAGGGTGTATTATAAAACTGAGCAGTATAATGCCATTAAGATGATAAACATATAGTCCTGAGGTTTGTTTACTTACAGAAATTCTGCGGAATGATTTGAACTCTAGGTAAGTTAGGTGTTCTGCCAGTTCCTGTGGCTCCAGGTGGTCAAACAGAAGAGAGACTTTCCTCTTCTTACTACAGTTCGGTCTTATTCTTTGTGTCAGTATTCTAGACCACTGCCGAGAGTTGCTATATTATAAAATAAAACATTACATTCCAGCATAAATCAAGATTATGTCAAAAGATATTTAACATTTCCTGATAACTCACATCTGAGCTGTGTCAAGAAGTTGCCAATGTAATTCTTCCCCTTGTGATCGCACCAATTCTTGGAACGCCTCCATTGTTTCAGTGAGACGCGAGTCCACCTTGAACATAGTCCAGAGTTCTGTAATCCAATATCTGAAGAGAGGAAACAGCTGAAGGATTGACCAAAAAATGCAGGATCACATCTTAAAAGCTCTGACTGATCATAAGAAACTTACCTTACAAAGTAGCAGATCTTGAGGCAGAACAACAAAGACCTCTTCTGCAGAGCTTCTTCATATGTAAATATCAGTTAAAGGAAAAACAACAGTGAAGACGACTGAGCGCAAATTATTATACAGTGTGAATGTAGCATTGCTCTCAAGAACCAGAAATACGCTTAATGCTTATCCTACACAATGGCTTGTCTAAGTTTAACTTCTATGTTTTAAAGGACTCAGCTTGTAGAGTATATTCAGATATAGCATGTCATAGGAAAAACATCGAGTTTATCTCTAGCATCTATTCCAATTGAAAAGATGAGACATAAAAAGGGTGATAATAAACAAAGATTGAGTGTAATTTCTCTGTTGCCAGGCTCTCCTTCTCCCACGGGAGGCCTCGTTACCTGCTCCCAGCCTCCTCAGAGGCGCATGCCCCTCATTAGTGACGCAGATGCTGAAGTCCTTGTGTGCAGAACCATATTGAATGCATTGAATTTGCCTCACTAAAAAGACCCCTTGTCTATTGTCCTGGCAGGAATACCAGACTTCGCGATTACCAGGAACAGAGATTCCGTGTTCTTGTTATAAGCAAAGTTTATTCAATACGTATTGGATAGAATGTGAAGATTAACATTCTGCAAGGTTACAATTAGTTACATGATTTTTCAAAGCAAAGCAACATTAGCATAATTAATGAGACACATCCCAGTGACATCCCACACTAGGTAGGCACAGAAATGCAAATCATCCAATAAAATGTAGTTATTTGTCAAGACAATGAAATAGTTAACTGTCTAAAACCGCAAAGTCACTCACAAAATTGACAGTTTAATACCTGTTTTTGCAAAGATATTGGTCAACATGAAAAGTCCATTCTAAGGAACAATGGCACCGTGGTCTTTGTTGGAGAAATAAACCTGTCTGGTTTCCAACGTTATACCACTTTAGGAAACATAGACCCTCAACAACAGGTCTCATGGGGCCCGAATGTTATTAAAAAAAAAGAAGTCTCATAAAACCGGTGTACTGTATGTAGCACCCTGTAAGCAGGAGTGCTTAGTAAAGTTAGTATTGTCAGATTGTAATCAGTCTGATGCTGATTTGTAGTCTATGCTCATCTGGTTTCCCCTAATCAGTCTGTCATTGTTTGCATCTCTCTGCTGCTGGGTGTACCCTGATCACAGAGAAGAGCAACCAATGAGAGATTGCTATGAGTACGTATTTCTCCCTAGCCAATGACTGGGAGGTTAATGGCCAGTGGTGCATGGTAGGAGAAGAGAGAAATACTTGGGGCGGACCATGGAAGCGCTCTCTTCCTCCACCGGGCCCAGCCTGGGGGGAGGCTGATATGGACTGGCCTGAAGCCTGGGAACTAGCCATGTGCTTACACTGAGGCCTGAGTTTTGGACCCAGTGGTTACTTCTGATGACAAGGATAAAGATGATCGGTGACTTCTAACTCAAGTACTGCTGTGCCAGGTGTTCTTCACACAGACTGCCAAGTCTGGCCTAAAGGTCCTAGTCTGTGAACGGCAGCAGCTACTGTGTCCTACCACCTAAAGGGGTCTACACTAGCCTGGATGATCCTGACCCTCAACCTCTCTCCCTGAAGTTCATCAATAAAGTTCCTCTATGTGACATACAGTACAGAGGTCAGTAATGTAACGCAGAGTGCAGAGGTCAGCAGTATGACTCACAGTACAGAGGTCAGTGTAACGCACAGTACAGAGGTCAGTGTGATGCACAGTACAGAGGTCAGTAATGTAACACAGAGTGCAGAGGTCAGCAGTGTGACTCACAGTACAGAGGTTAGTAATGTAACGCACAGTACAGAGGTCAGTGTAACGCACAGTACAGAGGTCAGTGTGACGCACAGTGCAGAAGTCAGTGTGACGCACAGTACAGAGGTCAGTGTGATGCACAGTGCAGAGGTCATTGTGATGCACAGTACAGAGGTCAGTGTGATGCACAGTGCAGAGGTCAGTGTGATGCACAGTGCAGAGGACAGTGATGTAACGCACAGTGCAGAGGTCAGTGATGTAATGCACAGTGCAGAGGTCAGTGTGACGCACAGTGCAGAGGTCAGTGTGATGCACAGTACAGTGCAGAGGTCAATGTGATGCATAGTACAGAGGTCAGTGTGACTCACAGTACAGAAGTCAGTAATGTAATGCACAGTACAGCGGTCAGTGTGATGCACAGTACAGCGGTCAGTGTGATGCACAGTACAGAGGTCAGTGTGACGCAGAGTGCAGAGGTCAGTGTGACGCAGAGTGCAGAGGTCAGTGTGACGCAGAGTGCAGAGGTCAGTGTGACGCACAGTGCAGAGGTCAGTGTGATGCACAGTACAGAGGTCAGTGTGACGCAGAGTGCAGAGGTCAGTGTGACGCAGAGTGCAGAGGTCAGTGCGATGCACAGTGCAGAGGTCAATGTGATGCACAGTACAGAGGTCAGTGTGACAAACAATGCAGAGGTCAGCGGTATTAGGAAGAAAAAAGAGACTTACAGTGCACTTAGCTGATGGTAGTCAGGTGCCCTCTTTCTCCTGGTGGTGGTGGTGGTGGGTGGGGGCGCGGTACAGACATCTTCCATGTACCAAGATAAAACTTTCTTTTCCCCCTGCATAACTTTCTGGCCGGGCCAACAGTGTCTCAGCAGTCTTCCTCCCAGCCTGGCAGCTGAGGTGGGCGGAGGAAGCTGCAGAAGACAGCGGAAGGGGAGACAGCCGAACTGAATGTCATTGAGAGGGTGCGCCGCCGGCAGGACCAGGGATGAGACACTACCGCCACAGCGATTGCTCGCTTCTGTTCTCTATTCTCCATCTCGGCCGCTCTGTAGCTGCAGCGGCCGATAAGGAGAAGAGAGAAGAGAAGCAAGCAATCGCCACGGCGGTAGTGTCCCATCTGTGGTCCCGGCGCAACCCCTCGTTGACATCCCCCCCCTCCCAATTTTCACTCGCCAATTGCAAGGGGGCGAGTGGAAATTTTGAGGCTTGTAACGGTTAAACAATAGTGTTGGCATTGCTAACAAGTATATACTAACATTTCCTGAGTGGACTACACTACTTGTTTACTATGTGATTACATAACCCCTGGACAGTGGGGGACATTCATTGAATGGTATATGTGTTACATAATAAAGGATATAATGCCCTGAGCTTGCCGAGGAGGTCTGAAGAAGGGATCAGGAATCCGTGCATTGTCAACATAATCTGTAGTAGCTCGCTGCTCTGAGAAACATTCCCTTCAGAATCTGCAAATACAAATAAAAATATAGAATAGGTTACTTCACTCATGGTACAAACCACGTCAGATACGTTGGGTAACTGAGTTCCAAGCTTCAATCAGGCAGTAGATCCCTGTAAAAGAAACTCCAATGCTTTAGGTCTAGACATTGTTCTAGACATTGTGAAGACTGTTCATACTTAGTGCGGTTAAATAAAAGACATCCAGCAAGTTCAACCAACAATGTCCAAAATAAAACATACAGATACTAGGGATGCACCGATATCTATACTAGTATTGGTATCGGTGCCGATACCGAGTATTTGGGCGAGTACTCGTACTCGCCCAAATGCTCCCAATACCGGAACTTCCGGTATCAGGAAGCCGGGCAGCGCGTCATTACCTGTCCCCTGGCTTACTGATTGGCCAGAAAGCCGGCTCTATGCTTCCTTGTCACCTGGTGACGAGGGAGCATGGTGCCGGTTTCCTGGCTAATCAGGAAGGCGGGCGGCATTTAATGACTCGCTGCCCAGCTTCCTGATTGGTTGAGAAGCTAGCCAATCAGTAACCCGGGCAGCGAGTCATTACCTGCCCCGCGGCTTCCTGATTGGCCAGCCGGCTCCATGCTACCTCGTCACCTGGTGATGAGGGAGAATAGAGCCAGCTTCCCGGGTAATCAGGAAGCCGGGCAGCAAGTCATTACACGCCGCCTGGCTCCCTTCCAGTACCAGAAAAAAAAATATCGGTACTCGATACCGAAAAAACAGTATTGGTGCATCCCTAGCTTTCACAATGCCTCTGGGTGGCACTACAGACTCTCTATATGCAATACTGTAATATCTGCATGAATACAAGTCTGACAGATGATCACTATACTAGCATCTATAGTGCACTGAAAACCTTGGCTTTTACATGACAGCACTCTGACTTGCTTGAGGTACTTTGGGCATTTAAAGTGTAACTCTAGCTAAAACCTTTTTCTAATTTTAGACTGAGTGGGGAAGGGTTCAAACATCTATTATAACTTTCCTGCGGCCTTTGTCTTCACACAGAGAACTGGTGTCATCAAGACAGGAAAAAATATATTATCTCCCCAACACTGACACACACAGCCATAAAAAAAATTTAAGGGGGATTTTCCCTGGTGGTCAGGAAAGGTCAGTATCACATAACCTTTAATGTGATATCTACAATGTCTAACCTCTAAAATAGGTCAAGTGGACTTGTGTGCCATGCTAAAGCTAAGAACATAGACATAGACCATGTTAAAGTTAAATTACACCCTAAATAAATGTTACACCCTAAATATGAGTGCAACATAGTATAAAACAGTAAACTTTGCCTTTAAGGGCTTATACACATGGGCGCAAATACAGCTGTATTGGCCAACAGCACAAAATACGAGTGTATTTGCGGCGCCTGGGAGCCCCTGCTGCTGTGTATTTCTGTAAATTGGTCCCAATCAGAGACCAGTATTGTTCATTTACAGACCCATTGCTGCAGGACACTCCGAAATCAGAGAGCCTTTAGTATTCAATTTCTGACTTTCAGAAAAGTCAACGATGCGACACACCTCCACTGCATCCAATAATTCAGCCTATTGAGAGGTGCCCATCATTGAATACTTAGACATGCCTTAGCAACATCTTTTGTAAAAGTCAGAAGTTACTAGGTAGCCTGTGTGTTTCAGAGGCTCCTGGGTCACACATGGTCATAGTTTTGAAATTGAAAGGCCATTTAGCACCTGGTGAAAGTGCCACTTAGGTCAGTTCCACTTGTCGGGATAGTGGCTTGCTTTAAAGCTTGATTGTGCCATTTTAAAAAAGGTGACAAATTAACTCAGGCTCCTTGAACACAGTAAGGACCTGTTCACACCTAAGCATATTGTTAACCACACAATACCATGCTATAAACACACCTAGAATGAGTTCCTATGCGCAAGGTGCGTTGCATTGCCATTCATTTGAATGGCACCTCAAGGCACTTCTCGGCCGCTCTGTGCTGCAACACAGTGAAACGTGTGCTACCGTTCCCACCACACCGCAACGCACAGTGTAGCCGAGAGGTTCCATTCAGATGAACAGCTTACAGTCCATGTAACTATTGCACTCTTGACCGCTCATCCATTAGGATAAAATGGGTGCAACGGTAGTTGGCGGATGGCCACCGTCTCAGTGATACGCAAGAATTTTGTATTCAGATGAACAGCAATGCAATGCACCTAGCACACAGTATCGCAAGCTAAGTGCCCTGTGCTATGGTGTGTAATATGCATAGTATCTTGCGATTAACATTACACTTAGGTGAGAACTGTCCCTTCGTGTTGAACATCTTACTTTTTTTTCTTTTGAAGGTCTCCCCAGCACATATCAGAAAACTCTAGCTGCAGCTAAAGACCGCTGCATTCTGTGTGAAAGCAACCATCTCTGTTGGGTTGTCTGATATACCCCATTGACTTGTTAGAGCTACGGTGGTGCAATCAGCGAAGCTGCCCTCCTGCTAATCTCACCATTAAACACTCCCTAACCACACCACTACCCAGGCCATTTACATATGCCTATTGTTGTGCAGAAGATGATAATCCCAGGAAGGGCAGAGATGTCTGACATGCTGGCTTTGGTTGACATGCAAAAGGAAAGATGGCAGCACCCAACAGGAAAATAACTTGGTTTCTGGGGACAGACAGGAGCAGAGTTTTTGTTCACTGATTATGCACTGATCATCTGTTTATAAGCTGAATACAGTACTTTATTTTTAGCAGTGGTTTCCACAAATATTGGCAAAGGAAAGAGTTCCTTCAGCAGCCTATGTTAAAAAAAAAAAATATCACAATGCTGCTGTCTAGGTGACTGGCTGAGAAGAGCTTTGAGCAGTTCTGAACATTTATGATTTAAATATTAGAACGCCAAGAAGATAGAACTTTCCATGTTGGACTAACATTGATTTAAAGGTTATTTTTTGGGTTCAGGATCTACATTCAGAGAGCAGTACGCCACAGGAAGTATTTGTTATCTATGTGCTTCACACCCTGCTCTACACTTCCTTTTTTGAGCTTTCTATTCTCAATGTACCGGCATTGGTTTGAGGAGACATTTGTGACAATCACAAGCCTGAATGTACCTAACACAGTATATAAGAGCTCCGTTCACCTGTTTTTTTCAATCCTGCCTGCTAGCCTAGAGTTAACAGCTTATTAAACTCCCAGCATGCCATGTTGTTAGGCCAGACCATTACTTTGCCCTAGTTACATAAGGAATGCCATGTGGAGATACTCAGCACCATCATACAGTGCAGCAAGTTGTTTTGTGGGAGGCATTTGAGAGCATATGACACCAATTTGGCACATAATCTGTCATTTGCACAGAGGATCACGTCATGGAAAATAAAACTAAATAAAGGCGACCGTTTCTCCATTTCACTTCTTATATTCTCGCAGGTTAGCAGAAGATTTCCTGCCGTGTTTCCATTCAGGGAAAGTTGTTGTATTAATGCTAATGTGATTGCAATTTTCCTCCATTTTCCTCCAGAGTGACAAACAATAGAGTTTCTTTTGTCAATGTTCCTCCCACATTTCTGAGCACAGAATAAGTCCCTGGGGATTTCTAGCTCATTCCATCTCTCTCCAGGTAACACACAGAGCAGCCCCCTACCCAGAGGCAGCACTCAAACACAGTACATTTTTAAAACATACAAGTCTATAAACACGGAGCTGAATGAAACACTTTAATACATTCTCTAGCTATCACAGTTACAAGCAGAGTCTTCAGCATATAGTGATCTTCTACATTGACTATAAAGTTAGCATCTCTCCAGTGACAATTAATTTGCTAAAGCACTATGTATCCTAATGAATTGTCCGTTTTTGAAATAAAATTCTATTTTCACATGTTTTCATCTTTTTTTCCCCCCACCTAATTGCTGCTGATTTCCTGTATCATCCACCTACATGCATACAATCCAGTGATGGCTGCATTGCATTTCTCACAATGGGTTCCTTATGCTAACAACAGTATAGTATTTATTCATCTGGTCACTTGTAGTCTCCATTTAGAAGCCTGCGTGACACAATGACAACTGGGACATAAGGAAAGAGCGTTGTCACCCTATAACAGAAAGCATAATCACCAGGAATTATTTGTTTCTGGCTGCTACATTACAGTCCCTTGCAGGTTTGCCCTTACAATATTCAGATCTGACATTAAAGGTAAATCATTATAAGCCACTTCTTAATATTAATCTTGGACAAGCACTACTTTTTGCTGTGTTACAGCTACAGAAGTCAGTACTATTTTTTTTCAAAAGGCTTCTTCCACCGCTCTTCAAAATAAAAATTTTGTATCTACCATCCAGACCATTCTCTATTTTATGGATATCTTTTCTGTATGAAAGCTACCAAGAAAATACAGCAGCCACTTTCCTGCAAACGAGGGTAATCCAGCCATACGCTAAGCTTTGTCTACTTCCTTGGGAGCTGAGAGTTGATGAACAGACTGAAATGTGGGAATGTGCTAGCACACAATACAATAGAACTGGTTTACCCAACAGAGGCATCAACACCATTTCCAAGTGTATAAAAGGTCAATTGGCATATCAGAAAAGAATAGATGTTAAATGTAATGATATTCCCAGTATTTTCCTGCAAACAACCAACTTTGTGTTAGTAATGCAAGTAAAAGGCAGATAACAAGTCGTCCTGTTAAATTAATCTGAGGTGCACAGCTACTGTTACATATCACTTATCTAGCAAACAAATGACCTTTTCTTATTCTGTGTTCCCTCTCATGCACTGTATTGGCACACAAAATGAGGAATCAGACTACATCGTATTCCGTGCCCTGATTGCAACACTAGTCAAGGTAACCACAAGATGTGATCCAGCATTTACAAAGCGATGATGGGAAAGCCTTTACAATCCCTAAATCAGATGACCCACATACATGAATAAACTGGCTGGATGAACTAGAACATAGAGTGTACCTAACAGCACAAATATGAGATGCAAGTCACCCCATCTGCCCATTTTCAGAT